TTCATTTAATTTTTAAAGATTTATTTCATTTTATGTGTGTGAGTGTTTTGTGTGCATGCATGTACATGCAACATGCCTGTGGAGGGCAGAAGAGTCTGCTGGGCTCCCCTGGAACTATAGTTACAGATGAATGAGTTGCCATGTGTGTACCAGGAACTGAACCCCGGTTCTCTGCAAAAGCAATAAGTGCTCTTAACTGCCAAGCTATCTCTTTAGCCCATTCAACAAAACAAAACATTTGCTTTACATTATTTCTTATTGAGCATGTGTGTGTGTGTGTGTGTGTGTGTGTGTGTGTGTGTGTGTGTATCAGAGGATATATTGAAGGAGTAGACTTTATCCTTCCACCATGAGGGTTCCAGGATCAAACTCAGGTCGTCCGCCTTGGCAGCACTAAGCCATTTTGCCAACTCCAGAAATGTTTTTAAAGTCGTTGATTACCGACAAGCATGAACAGTCCTCTCCCTCACAGGTGGATGCCACACATGCCTATCACCTTCACTCCGACCTGTTCTGTTATTTATCCTGCGTGACAAATGTGCTGGTGGGGTTATCCTGTTCTTTCCAGCCTCCGATTGCCTCTTCCGTAAGACACGGCTCCAGCGTCTGTTGCTTCTCCTTGTGTTGTCATCTTGTCACCCTTCCCGTGGTGCTGGATGGAAACTGTCAGTGTTAGCCTGTGAACACGCTGTGTTTGCTCGTATTACAGGGTGCTCTCTCAGCTTCACATTCTGCTGTTCTTTGTCCTTTACAACAAAACTTAAAAGCTTTGCTGATCACTGGTCTCTAGTTCCTGGCTTTTCAGTTTCCTTAATCCTAACTGAGTCATCATTTCTCTCATACCTCCACTGTGACTTCTCTTACTTCCTGAAGGGCCTGGAAGGTCTTCACTTTTTTTTACTGGACTTCAGCTCAGCTCTCAGTTTTCTCTCACCATTCCATCATGGCTCCTGATTCCCACACCTGAGGACCAGTGCCCTGAGCCTTTTCTAACTGTCTCACTGCTTGCCTGAGTGTGACAAGTTCCAAATATATATATATATATATTTATCCAGCTCAGGCTTCTCCTTGCATGACAGACTCCAAGAATGTAGCCCCAGAGGCATTTTTGTGCTAATTAGGAAAAAAAAAAAAAAAAAGCCACCTCTTTTGGCTGCAAGCACTTGACTGCCATCTTCTGGGAAGTCTGCAGAGTCAACACACACTAGATTAAACTGAACAAACAGCACTGTCCAAACCTCAGCAGGAGCGGATGTTCCTGTGCTGGGGAGAGCATGCGGCTCAGTGACTCCCCACCCAGACTCCTGATTTCTGTCTCCTTCCCCAGCCTGTCCCAAGCCCTCCCTTTCGGTCTCTTCTACTTCAGAATTCTTCTGGTTGTGAGGTTGACTCTTCTAAAGCTGCTGTTGGCACCCCTCTCCTGTAGCCCACCTTAAGCCCACCAGCAGCTCCTGTTTATTTTTCCTGCAGAGCATGTTAGACTCCAACCATTTCTCAACACCTCACTTTGGTGCCTACGCGCCAGTTTCCTCCAACTATGACTTGGAGTCTTCTAGCACTGGCTTCCTTTAGCTCCCACTGTCTGTCCTCAACACAGCAGCTGGTGTCACTCGTTTTGACCCCATCATGTTTTCACTCTAACCCCTGCCAATCAGGGTAAAAGCAAATGGCTCTCTGTCCCCTCCAGCCTTAAAAGCTTTCTCGCGCCTCCTCAGCAAGCCCAGCATGCTTTGTCTTCATTGACTCTGTCCATGAACTCTTACACACAGAGCTAGCCTGATCCCTCCTATTCTTTGCTCAAATGCCACTTTATCGTATCAAAGAAACTTTACTTAAACAAACAAAAAATATTACCCCCAAATCTCCCACAATATGTATCACCCCTTGTCTTGTATTGTGTCTGCCACGTTATCCTTCGGCAGGTACACATTGTTACTCCGTAACTTTACTAGGTAGTAACCTTGTTAGCCAAGAGATGTGTCTTTCCCTCTATTAAGACCCAGTTTCTGCACGTAGATTTCCATAGAGATTTGTTTAAAAACTAAGTAAATAAAGACATCCCAGAATCCACCTGTGGGACACAAAGGTTTCCGATGATCCTTGACACATAGACTCTCCAAGTTCCAAGATAGAGGTGGTGTTTTCAGGAATCCAGAAGCGAATTTAAATCTGGTTTGAAAACCTCATTGGTTTTACAACCTTCTGGAAGGACATTGGTAAGGTTCCTGCAGAGAAAGCAAGCAGGTGCCATCTAGTGGCAACAAAGGAAAACCCCTTTTGTGCTGCTCAAAACTGGCCATTAAGTTTTTATTAATTTACCTGACAATTTGACACAATTACATAATGCATTATACACATATTCAATCCCTTTGGCTTCCCCCCCATACTCCTAAAGACACCATTCTTCTCCACTAACTCATTGTACTTTTGTGTCTTATTTTTATATGTAGCAGCCACCTCAGCGGCTGGGTTCATGATTCCGTCAAGCATGTCATATCCAGAAGACAGTGTTTTCTAGGACTCCCTAGCCCTCCTACGGACTTTCTGTCCCCGCTTCCATGATGGGCCTTAGGTCTCAGAGAGTGTGATACAGGTTTCTCCTTTAGGGAAGAGCACTCAACAGTCATTTCTACTCTGCAATTTGGCCAGTTATTCTACTCAAGTTTATTAACAGGTGAAAATATGGCCACAATGGAGACACTATGGATTTTCTGATAGTAATAATTAGGATAGCAGCAAGTCTTCAAGAGTGCATTTTCCACAGACTCTATTGAACTGGAAAATAAGCAGTTTTATTTCTGTTTAAATTGCTTTCTTTCCACCTCTTTACTGTGTTTGGGAATCAAATTCAGGGCCTTGCTTATGCTCAGCATCCACACATCACTGAGTTAGATCCTGGGCCCTTTCTAATATTAATTTTTATTTATTTATTTTGAGATTGAGTTTCTTTTTTTCCTGTTCGTTGGCCTTATGCTTACCTTTGAACCTTCACATTCCTGCAAGTTGAATGGAGAATGAAATGAAGGCCCCATCTGCTGGTGAATTATATTTTGATACCAATGGCACGTGGTAGAGTAAATCTGTAGGAAAAACAAAGTGACCTCTTGAGGACATATCCCAAGGCCCGATGGACCTTTATTGTATGGACGTCAGCATCAAGTGGATGCACTGTCTGAGTTAGCTCAGTATCTTTTAGAGAGCAGGACTAATTATAGTGTGGAGAACCTAAGAAGAGAGACATTCTGTCTGTACAGCTGATAGGAAAGACAGCAATCATGCTAGTCTGTGACTGTTGTTCTAGCATTTGGAAACTAGCTCATTTCAGAACATAGGTGGCTCGAAGCAGAGCCCTTGAGTCCCCTTTAGGAGTCTCTGTCCTTTTCATTCCCCTTGCTAGGGAGGAGCTGGGAAATGTTTGTCTTCTGGTAGGAGACACGAGCAGTGATCAGATAAGCAAGGGCAGGTGATGAGGGTCCCAGGAAGGACATGACCTCTGACTGTGGACATTCAGATTAGTCCCTGGTCTCTTCACTCGCTAGACTATTTTCTGTGCGGCACTAGAAGGCAACGGTTGGAGCAATGGAATGAGACAAGGAAGCTGATGTCATGTCAGCATAAAGAATTATTTTCCAGTTAAAATTGACTTTTAAGCTCTTAAACAAGAGGTCTAATCTCTAATTCGCCATCAGTGAGTGGGTTCAAGCAGAGGGATTTGTTGGCATAATTAAGGTTCTGATTTCTTCTTTCTTCCTATAGGGCATGAAATTTTTCCCAAACTTCAGTGTTCTGTTCCTGCTCCACTTCCTGTCCTTTCCTACTTCCTGTCCTTTCCCATTTTTCTATCTCTGTATGTCCTAGCATTTCAAGTGCAGTCTTGTACCTATTCTACAAAGCCTGTGTTAGCTTTATGATACTCTCTGTGGCACTTCAAGTCGATACTGAGGTGGTTGATGAAGAGGTGCCACATTCTAAACAATGTCCCTGTTGGCTTTGGCCAGTTTTATTGGATGAATTTTCATTGTCTATGGCAAGACATGTAGAAAGGCTGCCCTTCCTTGCCTCAACTATCAATTGAGCCCAAAATACTCAGCTTTATTGTATGTTTGATGGAACAAAGTTCCATCAACGTTCTTCAGCTTGGAGAAATAAAAATAAAAATAGATTTGCTTACTGTTATGACTATTGTAAAGTTTTGTTTTCTTAGATACCTATCTTCAAAAGTGGGTATCAAAATTGGTAGTATAGTGTTGGCATGCCTCTCTAATTCCAGTACTTAGGAGACCCAGGCAGGAGTTTGATGCCTGCCTCAGCCACATAGCAAATTTCAGACCAGCCTGGACCACATAGCCAGACATTGCTTTAAAAAATGGAATAAAAGAAAATAAAATGCCAACCAAGCAACCCATCATTTTTTTTGTTATTTATATATGTTATTTTAGGATTCTTTCATTCTTTTATTGACTGCAGACACATATTTTTGATGTGATATGTTGTCTTTTTTTTTCCCTTGAGAAAACATGTTATACAAGTTGATATGGTATTTTGAATAGTATGTTGATAATTCTAAAACACTGCATTTAAAAGTGATCAAATGCTGTTTCTAAGTCATCTAGCTTCTGAAGATGTATTTGTGTAACATAACATCCCAACCTTTTAGAATGGTAAAGTTGAAAAAGGAGAGGCCGGCAGTATAGTATTAATAGGTAGGTGCTGTGTGCACGCCAGATCCAAGGTCTGTAATAGTAGGGTACCATTTTGTTTGATTTTATAATTTAAGTGGCTGCAATTATTTCTAACCATTTGTTAGCCTTGATGGCTCAGGAAATTCTTATAGGACTTAATGGTTATGTGGAAATTGGCAAATTTGCTATTTTAAGAGCATGATGATTCTTACTAACTGCTGAGTTGTTTTGAAAGCCAAGGAACAACATTGCTGATTTGATTTGTACTTGAATAGGATACTGCTTCCTTGATGCATAGCTCTGTCTTTTATGTTTTAGAATATGCTGAATTTCTACACTGCAAAGGAAAAAAATTTACGGATTTTGATGAAGTTCGCCATGAGATTGAGGCAGAAACAGACCGAGTGACGGGAATGAATAAAGGCATCTCTTCTATACCCATTAACCTGCGAGTCTATTCGCCGCATGGTAAGTGTAACGTTCAACCTGAATGATTTTCCTCAAACATTTTCCAGTAGACAAATGCACATTCACTGTAGAACAGGCAAACAGTGTGGGGTTTCTGGGACGTTTGGGTCCCGATGCCTGCATTACAGTTCAAAGAGCTCAGACTAGAGAGAGACAGAAAGGGTCTGATAACATATTGTAATTGTCTTGGGAATTGAAAAAAATCCTTTATTTTCATTATAAACCTTCAGAAATCAGAAATTGCAAGGTGGGCACATGAAAACTTGCACCACCACCACCATCATCATCATCATCATCATCATCATCATTATTATTATTATTATTATTATTATCTTCAGACTGTGTTTGAGTCCTTCTCTGTTGAGCTTTTATATTTTTGTTGATTTTATTCCGGAAGAATCAAGTGTGGCTTTTATCCCCAGACTGTCGGCATGGGTCCCACAAGGACTCGGTACCCACACCAAGCAGACAGTTTTGTTGGACTGGATCACCTTGCCACTGGCTGCTTGTTATAGCCCACTCACGCCACACAAAGCACCACAAATGGCTTGCAGCTTTCCCGCAGGCTAAGTGGCTAACTTTCTGCAACTAACATATGATGCTTTCAAAGGGAAGGGTGAACGCTACCCTATGAATTTCTATACCACTTGGAGGCAACGCGCAAGACTGGCAGACAGCATATGCATTTTTTGTTCGGTGTTTTAATTATAGCCGCCTAGTTATGACAGCCAGGGTATGACAAGCTCTCTCAGCAAACTGGTTAGACATGGAAATCAATGCCTTTCAGATTATGTTAAGATGATCATTTGGCTTAGCACAATCCTGTAAAAATAGAGAAAACTAGCAAACTCATTTTGTATTCAATGCTTTTCCTTCTCTGCACTTGAGATGGAGCCATTCATATACCCAATACATAAAGCTGAGCTAAGTGGCAGATGATGCAGCATTGACGGTGTCTTTTAGACAACCTTGTGGGTGTCTTTTGGACTTAAGATATCTGTAAGACTCTTCCATTCTTTCCCACACAGTGTTAAATCTAACGCTAATCGACTTACCTGGAATAACGAAAGTGCCCGTGGGAGACCAGCCGCCAGATATTGAGTATCAGATCAGAGAAATGATTATGCAGTTCATCACGAGGGAGAACTGTCTGATCTTGGCTGTCACCCCAGCCAACACTGATCTTGCAAACTCAGATGCACTGAAGCTGGCCAAAGATGTTGATCCTCAAGGTGAGTGTGTCACCATTATGATGAGGAAGAATCATGGCAAGAACGCAGGAGTTTTGTGCAGGTAGCCCAAATTCTCCTGACTCAATTTCTAAAATTCAACAAGGTTAATGTTGGTAAATATTTTATATTTCAGATGCTGAAGGAATAACTAGGAAATACAAACACTACATAATTAAAAGTAACATAATTGAAAACCATGAACATAGACAGTTTTAAACCTCATGGAGTGCTTAACTTTAAAGATTAATAAAACAAACTTCTGCAACAGCAGGATTCTGTTTACATAGTTATTGCAGGAGTTTCCCAAATGTCTTTATGAGAACACTTTCTACTGTCTTTTGTTTCTTGAAAGTAGGAAATGTGAACAACAACAACAACAACAAAATGCACAACAGATTATTTAGTTTGTATTTATTTGATAAATATTTTAAAGTCAGGGACTTTTTGTTATTTGTAGGTCAGAATCCAGAAAAGTCTCTTCCTTATGCTGATGTTTTAATTTTTCCTTTCTCTGAGTTGAGAAATTAGGATCCTTAAAGACCTTAGTGGCACACCTTGGAGTGCGTGTGTCTAAAGTAATGGCCAAGGCGCTCAGAGAAGTGTGCTCTCAGCAAGAGACGCATGGTCCTCGAACCTAGGACTTAATTTTTGTTATCATTAGTCATTCCCATTTGTTTGTTCTCTTTGTTTTTAATTCTTGCTGTTTCTTATTCTCTCCTTTGAACTGTCCCTCTTCTGATGTACATTTCTCAGTCTTTTTGTTTTATATATTTTTATGATTTATTCAACTAGCTTTTCTCCTCTAATTTTTCATTTGTGATAGGAGTTTTGAAATTCTAAGAGTATTTTCTTACTTTATTCCTGTTATTTTTATGTTTTACAAATAGCAGACTGCTCTTGGCTTCTTGAGTGCAGTGATTAAAGATTTTAATTAGAACCTTCACAGAGTCTTCTTTTATAATGCACTTAATCTCAGAGTGCATCGTTTCCTGGTTGCCTCGGTCTCTGTCTCAGATGCTAGAAGCCTTTGTCAAATATGTGCTGACTCTTTGGTACTTGTTCCTTGGTGAGAGTGGAACACTGAAAAGCTGAGCATGTGCAGGGTTGGGCTCTGGGGGTCAGTAGGCTTTACACACAGTAATTGTGCTGTGACCTGGCCACTTTTGTTAGTAGAAGTTCTGAGCTGCTAGAATGACTATTTTGCCTTGAGCTGGTCTACAGTAGACCACATACACAATGTATTTGAAGCCAAGAGGAAGGATGAACTAGTGGGACAAAAGGAAAGTAGTTTTCATCACTAGGTACCATATATATACTTTATTAATCTCTCTGATTTCACATGACATTACCTAAGGTCTGGGTCTGAAAACCATCTGACTTGGCCAAGCAAGGGTGGTTGCACATTATGGATGGTGGAGGAGGGTCTGGAGCTCAGCAGTGTCCTGTATGAAACCCCTCTTCGATTTTCAGCTCTGTGTCCCTGGCGCTCCAGTTCTGGATCTTTTTTCAGGTTCTGAAATAACAATTGGTTTGTTTCTGTTTGGCTTTCTCCAACATCCTTAAGATGTGGGCTTAGGATAGTGCAGATGAAGGCTATCGATGCCCAGATAAGGACCCACACCAGGACTCTCTTTTCAGTACCAGTGCCTCAGGAGAATCAGCTTTAGACACAGACTACAATGTAGCTACTGAAATGATACTATGGCATACCTGTCCACAGCCTTTTTGTCCCCAAGGGGCAGGGCTATGGTTGTGGAGTTAGGGCACAGAGAGTTCTTCCACTGTTGACTTTACTGAATGTAGTGCCATTACCTCCCGAGAAAACCACATGTAACCAGCCCAGACAAAGGTTCCTGCAGGAGTACAGGCGAAATCATACCTAGCCCCTGATTCCTCCATTCTGCCTTGACTTCACCCCCTTGAAACTTGCTCTCCTCTCCCATAGACACTGTGTACAAGTCTATATTTTTCTGTCATCCTCACGACATCACAAAACCTAGTAAAAGTAAACACAGTGACAAATAATGTGTTTCTTGTGCTGTTGCTCGATAATGTGTTCTGCAGATGTTTGTTAGGTCTAGTTGGGTTTTAGTATTGCTTTGGATTTGCTATTTTCTTATTGATATTGTGTCTGGTATTCTTTTATTGAAAGAGTAGCATTAAAGTCTCCACTATTGCTGAATCACCCTTTTAGTTTTTTTTTTTTTCCTTTATGCTAGTTTTTTCCCTCCAGGGGAGGGTTGCTTTGTTTTTAGACGCATTTGTAATAGTCATTTCTTCTTGATGGATTGCCTTTTATCATCATGAGTGTCCTCTAGAAACTTTTACTTTGTTTCATATTGCTGTGCTTCCTGTTCTCACATGGTTGATGTTGGGGTAGCATATATATCCTCTTTATTCTTTACATTCAATTATTTTAGTCATTTCAAAACCAAATGTGTCTATTGTAGACAATATTCAGTTGGAGCACATATTTGATTTTTTTTTTTAACAAATGTAGCTTCTTAATATGTTAAATATGTCCATGCGACAACAGGCTTCATGTTTAAAGAAATGTGCCTCTTTTTATTGGCAACTTTTGCGCATTGACAGTTTGTACATGTCTATATCCCACTCCGAGCACTCCTGCCTTTACCTTGTCTCACTGCCCCTCTGCCCCTCCTGACCCTGCCAGCTCCCCATGGTGCCTGCAAAGCTTCTCCCCATATTTATGACTTTTTGAGTCCCACTGAGCTTAACCTGGGTTGTCTGTGTGACCACAGGGTTGGAACTAGCCACTAAAGCCTGTCGCTAGAAGACTGGATACTGAGCCTCTTCCTTGCAGTCTGTTACTAGTCAATGTTTCAGCAGCGATGTGAGGAACCAAGCATCCATGGCTAACTGCTGGTGGTGCTGTGCATTCATGACTGCTGTGACAGTCATGTTGTGCTTAGAAGGCACTTCTTTCTATCCTCCAACCCTTACGTTCTCTCTGGATGAGCTCTGAGTTTTAAGGGAGTAATGAAATCCATTTGGCTAATGTTCTGGTTGGAGTGTTTAACTTATTTAAATTTGCTGTCATTACTCATAGCTGGAATCTATGTCTGTTATTTTGTCTTTTTAGGTTATATCCTACGTCGTTGATGTTCTGATAATGTCTTCCTTTGTGTCAAAATCCAGTTTCCACTGTACCCCTTCAGTTTCTTTTCATCCTTTTACCTGTTTCTGAAGTTATTTTCTTAGCGGTTTCTCTAGGAATACTCTTGACATTTAATTACAGCAACTTTGTTTTGATTGGTGTCAACTTAATTTTAACAGTATACTAAACTTATTTGCATTATTAGCAATACTGGCTTTTTCTAGACACTTCAAGATGTTGTACATTACACACCCACCAACATAAATATATAACTCTTCCTTTATATTGGTATCTTTCAGATAAGACATGAGAAAAAGTGCTATAAACAAGCAAGAGAAACATTTATGTTGGCTATCCAACTAGTAGTTACACTTCCGTTTATTTCTTTGTGAGGATTTGAGTTAGCATCTTTAATTTAATTAATTAATTAATTAAATCATGTTATAGCCTGATCCCAGCATCCATCCTCCTCTCCTCCCAGTTTCACCCTCACGCTCCCTTTCCCCATTTCAAACCCCCTTTCTTCTCAGAGAAGGGGAGGCCCCCAAGGTGTTCCAAGCCACCCTGGTACCTCAGGTTGCAGCAGGACTAAGCACATCCTCTCCCACTGAGGCCAGACAAGGTGGCCCGGCTAGGGGAAAGGGAACCAAAGGCAGGCAATGGAGGGGCTATCTCTGACTCTGCTGCTTTGTTTTTTAAATTCCACAACAATGATTTATCCCACTCCCTTCCTAACTCTGTAGTCAAAACTCAGCTGTGTCTCTTCTAAGAGTCAGTAAACATAATGGGTATGCTTTGCTCCCTTTGTCTCTGATAGACAGTGCTGACTAGTTTTATGTCAACATGACACAATGGAGTAGAGAGAATCTCCGTTAAGAAAATACCTCCAGCCTAGTCTACAAAGCAAGTCCAGGACAGCCAAGGCTACACAGAGAAACCCTGATTTGAAAAAACAAAACACAACAACAACAACAAAGTGCCTCCATTGCGGATGGTGCCATCCCTAGGCTGGTGGTCCTAGGTTCAATAAGAAAGCAGGCTGAGCAAGCCACGATGAGCAAGCCAGTAAGTAGCACCCCTCCATGGCCTCTGCTGCAACTCCTGCCTCCAGGTTCCTGTTGTGTTGAGTTCCTGCCTGACTTCCTTCAGTGATGAGCAGTAATATTGAAGCATAAACCCTTTTCTTCCTTACTTTTGGCCTACACTACATCATCACAGCAATAGAAATCATTTTGATGAATATAGTTATAGATGTTATTGAATTTACTTGAAGTTTTCTGAGCCTCTTGGATGTGTAGGTAAATATTTTCCATTAACTTTTAGAAATTTTTTAGACATTTCTTCAGCTGCCCCCAACCTTTTCCTTCACTTCTTTTGAGACTCCCACCATGAATCTGTTGGCAGTGTGATGGACAATGCCCACAGGTCTCTGAACCTTTATCTTTCTTCTTTCTTTTTCTCAGACTGGGAGAAGCAACATCAGGTGACTTAATTTCAAGTTTGTTGATTTTTAAGTCCATTCATATTGGCTATTAAATCTCTGTGGTGAATTCTTTTTTACTCTATTTAAAATTTTTATATCTATAAATAAACCTGCTCAACATGGTTGAGCAAATGTCCTTGTTGTATACTTGAGCTTATTTTGGATATATGCCCAAGAGTGGTATAGTTGGATCTTGAGGAAGCACTATTTCTAATTGTCTGAGAAAGTGCCAGATTGATTTCCAAAGTGGTTGTACAAGGTTACATTCCTACCAGCAATAGAGTAGGGTTCCCCTTTCTTCACATCCTCTCCAGCTTGTGTTGTCACTTGAGTTTTTGATCTTAGCCATTCTGATGGGTGTAAAGTGAAATCTCAGGGTCGTTTTGATTTATATTTCCC